CAGCTGGCTGAACGGAGCTACGCTTTTTCCACTTCCACTACGGGTGAGTCAAACCGCCGTGTGTCTCCTAGTTCCGCACCGCCGGCGAGAGCTAGTGGGGGATATGCTGATAGGAAATTCAACATTGTCCTGTATGGAGTGGATGAGTGCACCCCTGGCTTATCCAGAGCGAGCAGGCTGGAGTCAGACCTTGGCAATGGGGTGTCTGTTCTATCTACACTCGATAGCTCAATACAACCCCAATCTATAAAGGATTGTTACAGGCTAGGCAAATTTCCCCCCAACTCAACACGCCCTAGACCAATTCTTGTTAAGTTGATCAGAGTGTCAATATATTATTGTCAAAGAAGCGATTTCTGTCTTAGCCTCACTACATAAAACAGGATGTGCCTCTTGCGCAAAGAATGGTAGAAGCTGTCTTGCTAAAAGAGAGGTGGAAGCCTAGCCAGTCGTGCCCAGCAATGGCATAAGAATGAAAAATGGTCATCTCTACGTGAATGGGCAGTCACACAGCCATGTTGAAAACTCTAAGTTCATTGGTGCCCCTTCCCAGTTGGAGACGGGTAGCCTAACAAGGGGCGCTTCAGAATCGAACAGTACTGATGCAACTCCCATTGTTCTGTTACACAACCACTCGTCCAATACCTACAAACCACTTGTACTTACTGACATCCCAACATCGCATCCTAACAATGTTGTGCACTCTAACGATCAGTCAACACCGCCTGCTCCAAATCATATATAGCCCTCCCTCCTCTCCCACTCCTGGCCAATCTTTTAGCAAGGACTCTCCAGAGATATCAAATCTATCTTCCCAGGATCAGTGACTACCTGATGTAAATGTGCGTGTATGTCTATCGTAGCGTCGTCAATAAATTATCCAAATTCCAATCCTTTGTGTATGCTTCCAATTTCAATGTTTTTTTGTATAACTGAGTGTTGGTTATCTAGTTCTATCTATGATCAAGAAATTCTTCATTCTAATTATGTTTTGTATCGCAATGATATGGTGTCTCGTGGTGGAGGTGTTTTAATTGCAGTTCATAATTCTATCCCTAGTTCACTGGTTTGTACTCCTTCTGATTTTGAGATTGTATCAATGAAAATATCATCCAGTAACCTTATCTATATCCCACCCAACTGTAGTGAATCTTACTTGCTTTCTGTAATTCATTACTTGTCTGAACTTGTGTGTTCCTATGACAAATGTATTATTGTTGGTGATTTCAACTTCCCTGATATTTGTTGGTCATATCTCACCTGTACTACTACCTCTTCTAGTCACTTCTGTGATTTCATATTTGATCATAATCTTACTCAACACATTTTGGTTCCTATGCATTATATGGGCCATACGCTCGACCTTGTTATTACAAGTCCAACTATGAACATTTCTGATTTATCAGTTGCTCATCCTGTACAGTCTATTTCATCTGATCATATGATAATCACCTTTGCCCTACTCTGTAATGTACCCCATCACATTTAGCGTAAGTCAAGGTTTGTGTTTGACTTTTCTAAAGCAGATTATGATGCCATTTCTTCCTTTCTCTTAGATGTTGATTTCTCCATTTGCTTTCAGAGTAATAATGTTGAATTCATTTGGACCATGATTAAGTCTGTTATAATTATATCATGCTATGTGTGTGTACATTCATTCCTAAGGTTCGTTTACATTCACGGGAGGACCCTCAGTGGCTCGGTCCCACTCTACGTCATCATTTTAATTGCCTCAAAACCATACGCAGGAAATTCAAATCTCATCCCTCTCCTGTCAGATCATCAAAGATTGAACTATTGGAACATCAGTTGCAGCATCACTTGATCTCTGCCAAGTCTAAGTTCGAATCCCAGCTATACTGATGTCCCTCCACTCTAAGAATACATCCAAAGTGTTTAGATACGTCCGAAGTATAACTGGCCAGAATAACATCCCAAATTGTGTCCATTTTGGAGATATTTCTGCTGAATGGGATCGAGACAAAGCCACCCTCTTCAACAGATACTTCTACTCCATTTTTACTAGGAGTCCCTTCAACTGTCCAGATCCTCAGAACCTACCCAAGATGAATCCAAATATCAATGACATATCAATTACTGAAGACGAAGTATACCTCGCACTAATATCTCTGGACCCTTCGAAAGCTGCAGGTTGTGACAGAATTGGCCCTAAGCTACTTAAACACTGCGCTCTCGCTTGCCTCTTTGCCACCTATTCAGCCTTAGCCTCTCTCAGTGCTACATTCCTGCTGAGTGACATCTATATACATCTAATAATACCTGTTTTTACATATGGTGATAGAGGCTTGGTTCAGAACTACAGACCTATTTCACTCCTTTGTGTTTGTTCGAAGGTGTTGGAAAGGCTTGTTTTCAACCACATCCTCGAGTTTGCGAACAATAAAATATCTTCCCACCAATTTGGATTTATGCTCCATCGTTCGACCTTACAACAGTTGCTCATTTTTGTAAACGACATTATAAAGTCGACCAGTACCTCCTTTCAAACTGATGTCATCTACTTGGACTTCAAAAAAGCTTTTGATTCTGTAGCCCACAACGAGTTGTTGTTCAAACTATGGCATATTGGTATTAATGGAAATACTTGGAAATGGCTAAAGGCATATCTTACCTGCCACACTCAGTGTGTCTCTATCAACTCGGCTACCTCTACTGCCCTCCCAGTTATCTCTGGCGTTCCTCAGGGCAGCATTTTGGGCCCACTACTGTTCGTAATTTTCATTAATGATCTTCCAGACGTAGTTCAGCATCTAAAGTTTTGTTGTTTGCTGATGACGCGAAGTGTTTTAAACCAATTTCTAACCATTTTGATCGTATGTGTCTACAGGATGATCTCAATAGGCTAACACTATGGAGCACTACCTGGAGTTTGCCATTCAACGTCAAGAAATGTTTTGTTCTCTCTTTTCCTCCTAGATGTGGCCATGCTCTATTCTCCAACTCCTACCATCTTAACAACACTCAGCTATCGTTCAAATCGGTGCATAATGACCTTGGTGTCGTCTTGTCTTCCGATCTCAGATGGTCTGACCATTACGAATATATCATGGCCAAGTCATACAGAGTTCTTGGTTTACTTCGAAGAGTGTTTTCCTCTGTTCACTGCCCACGGGCTAAAAAGGTTCTCAACAAGCTACTGCAGCACTACCAGAGCCACACGGGTCCCGTCAACGATTTGACCTTTCACCCCTCCGGAAACTTCCTTCTCTCGGCCTCAGCTGACATGACTCTCAAGATATTTGACCTGGTGGAGGGAAGACATACTACACTCTCCACGGACACAAGGCTGGGGTGCTGGGTGTCGACTTCTCACCTTCTGGGGAATTCTTCTCTTCTGTTGGAGCTGACGAACAGGTTCTGGTGTGGAGGACAAACTTTGATTCTCTGGACCACGGGGAGATTCTGAGGGCCCAGCGGAAGAGACCCGCCCCCTCTTCCCATCGTCACCACTCTCACGATCTTCCCCCTCCTCACACCCTCACTCAACCCACACATCAGTTGGATGCGAGGAGAACGCCATGTGACACCGTGTCAGCCCCTTCCACTGTGACTAATGTCGGGCCTCGGCTTTTCCACAGACCACACCCCTCACATCCTCCCCCTCAACACCTCTCACAGGAAGAAGATGATGAGGGGGCGGGGCCAGTCCCCAAACCACACCCCTTGAAGCCACGACAGTGTCTCCGGAACTGTCAAACACTCTACAACACATCGTGGGCCAGCTGGATATTCTCACTCAGACTATGTCGATTCTGGAAGAGAGGCTGACGGTAACTGAGGACAAGGTGAAGGAGTGTCTTGACAACCAGCAGAGAATAACTCTCCAGATACAGCCGCATACACTGCTGCTTTATTGCTCTCCCATCTGGCGTCCTCACCTACTGAGAGATATTAAAGCTCTTGAGAATGTCCAAAGACGAGCCACTAAATTCATTCTCAACAACTATGTTTCTAACTATCGTCTCCGTTTGCTCGACCTTCATCTCCTGCCACTAATGATGGTCCTTGAAATTGGTGATATTCTGTTCTTCGTAAAGGGCTTGAAAGAGCCATCAGCCCACTTTAACATTCTTAGTTTCGTCACATTCTGCTCTGGCCAAACTCGATCAGCCTTGCACTTCAAGTTGAGACAAACTATTCCTATTTCTAATAACTCCATTCGTCACTTTTACTTTAACCGTCTTCCCCGCCTCTGGAACTCACTCCCCCTTCTTAATTTAGATCACTCCGTATCCACTATCAGGTCTAAACTCTACGAACTTTTTTGGAATCGTTTCATTACAAACTTCAATCCAGACAATCCATGCTCGTTCCACTACCTGTGTCCATGTGCTAAGTGTAGCTCTATCCCGATCTCCCCCAACTTTGACACCTCTCTCCTATGAACTAATCTCTAAGTATGTTTGTTTTTGTTCTGTTATGTGTCATAGGCTGCTGGTGTATACATCCAGCAGACCCTCAGCACTACCATCCTCTTGCCATCATCTTACCTCTCACATCTCGTGTCTTTGTGTGCTGTAAAGTCACAATAATAATAAACAGGTAGCTAGCTATCGCTTCTCGGCCGCTTTATTGTGTGTGGTCACATAATACGTTTCAATAACAGACAGACAGATGAAGACAGACTGTCCAGACAAAAGTCAACATTTTTAAAAATTTTCCTCCCCTGCAAAAAAACTGTCTACAATGCACGTCCAATGGGGCTCAACAACTGGGTTCACAATACTGGGTGATGTGCGTCATCCCTGGTTACATCCTACTGTGAAAGTCCATGGCTGTTGAAATCTTTCACTCCCTGGTAAAAGCCTCTCCAACTTTATCACATCACTTGACTGAGTATGCGCATTTGCTTTTCCCTCTTTCTCTTGCGCATGCGCGTGCGGCGAGAGAAGACTTACCCCGCGCGCCCCGCGCGCCCGCTCACTCAATAGCCATACGGCCGTGTCGTGATCGCGTATTGTCGGTTAGCGACGTAGGAAGAACTGGAAGGCCATAGACGCCCAACGAATGATATATATATATATATACAGGCAAGGAGAGCGTAGTGATGGCGTTTTCTCAACGAATCGTTCCTGGTTTTGTGGCGGTGGTGCTGCTGTTGATCAGTCATGCAGGCTGTGTCCAGGACCAAGCTCCAGGAGATGGTGTAGCGATATGTACTGAGGAGATCGTTAATGGAGAGCCCAATCCGTTCTTTGCTAACCGCCCAGTGTACTCTGTCAATGAACGACCTCTCATGGACTCCAGAGACTATAACCGCCTGCTTCAGGAGAGTGGCGATGCGTATGTACCGTGGCAGATGCTGGATAGGGACAATAACAATACAAACATGGTTGTAACTGAGGTAAGGACAATAGCTATACTAAACATAATTTATTAAATTGCTCTCCAGTGGACTCAAACTGGATCATCCACATGTGAAGGGAGAGTGACAGTGTGTGGATTCAGTGAGGGAGCACAAGAGAACTGGCTCATCACACAGCACATCAACACAGTGCTACCAGGAGGAGGAGGAGAGAGACTGAGGAAAGTGACTGTTCAGTTTGAGGGAGCTCTAAATGGATGTGACATCAGTAGACAGTGCAGACAGAGTTTTGAACTATACAAGTGGGAGACTTCAGCCATTGACAGAAATGGAGCTACTAACGCCAACAATTATGTCAGAGTTGGTCGAGTCTCTCCTGATGTTACTAATGGAGTTGTCCTTTGTTGACTCCCATGATATTGAATTGGGTACCACAGGTGGTTTTTACTTGGGAGTTGTTGACTTGAGCACTTGTGTTACTCTCACAAGAATTCTAGTTCTCTACTATGTGTGTCCAGAGGAGACATCAGAACTCATCTCCAGACCTGAGGCAATTGAATCCCAGTCTCTGGAAGGCTCACCTTCAGTGGAGGGAGAGTGTGTAGAGAACAGTTCCACAGAGTCTGGGGCTAATCCTATTCTCATATGTGGTCCTAGGGGACAGTGGCAGGTTATAAAACCTTGTCTCTGTAATCCTGGATATCAGCTAAACAGTAGTCAGGACCAGTGCTCAGGTACGACACAATGTTACATTTTACTGTTTGAATGTGATCTGTGTTTACAGAGTGTCCAGAAGGAACCTTCTCATCGGGACTGGGTAATGGACCATGTGAGACATGTCCAGCTAACAGTGAGGGGACTGGAACTGCTCTGAACCTCTGTCCATGTGTCCAGGATTACTACAGAGCTCCTTACGAAGGGCCATATGTCCCCTGTACAAGTAAGACATGGTATAGAATTGTGTTTATTAATTAACCCTTAGCAAGCGATGGGCATATATATGGCTATAGCTAATACTAGGCGTTACATCAATATAAGGAGATACCCATGGTGTCCAAAGGGTATATACCTGACAGCATTTTTTAACTTCATTCGCGTTTTACGGTGTTAGTTTGAAAAAAAATTTTGGGAGCCTTACATTTCCTGTTCCATGTAAAAGGTTTCAGAACATTATATACTAGTTAACATGACGGGCTATATACCAACAAGTTTTTAAACTAGCACTGTAAAACGCAAGCAACACTATGTGCAAGTAGAGCACAACTTTTTTAGAATTTTATGCTCGCATAGAAATGTATAGGGACCCGAACTCATGAATTTATATTAAGGGAGCATTGAAACAAAGGCTAAAAATCAGAGAAATAATAATCATAGTAGTATATTGAACTCATCAAGTTCTCAAAAAATTTTATCAGGTAGCTAGCTACCAAGTTGAATTTGCTCATAATTATAATATTAGTTAACCTGTGCATTAATGGTAGGGTGTGCTGTTGACAATAATTGCATGTACCTATTACAGAGTCTCCAGGACCTCCATCTGATCTCAGAGTGTCAAATGTGACCAACACATCAGCTGTCCTCTCCTGGTCTCCTCCTGATAATAGTGGAGGGAGACCTCTCTATGAGATAGTCTACACCGTCACTGCCACTGGTGTGAATTCTTTCGTATGCATTTAGAATGGACTTAAAACTACCTGTCCATCCAACATGTTAAGTGTTACTCTGACCAAAATTCAAGAATTATTGCATGCCATATTTTATTAGAGCGTTCTGAGTTGCACATTTTACACCTATGTATTTCCTGTTTACTTGCCACACAAATTGTAATTTGACATGTGATAGACAGGCATACCTACGCTGTAAACCCTATGTGACTTCTATATGCACTGTATAGACAGAGGAGGAAGTGGGGAAGAGAGAGTGGTGGTGAGTGAGGTGAATGATACAGAGACCATTGTGACTGGACTGACTCCTGGTGTCCTCTACACATTCTCTGTATCTGCTGAGAATGATGTCTCCTCTCAGGATTCCAATATCAATGGCAGGAATCTCAGTACCACTGCCAACACTCAGGAAGGAGGTCAGTGTATGGGTGAGCCACATACGTAGGTGGAGGAAGTGCCTAAAAGTTTTCCTATGCATATTGAACAGCTAGGAACATCCTTAGGAAATCAGCAGTTATTATCACAATCAGTACGATAAAGGCTGAACCACTAAGGTTGAAGTCCCTTGGGGATTGCCACTCATATATTTCTCATACTCCTGGCTATAATATTATTGTGCAGTACTTATGATGTTATGCATTTTTTGTTCCGTGTGTGAGCGTTTCTGTTGGTTGTTTTTCCCAAACTACCAAATGTATGTTGTTGTGTGTTTTTGACCAAAGCTAACATGCCCTACAGCCCTCCCTGCTGTGGACTGTTTTTGTGAACGAATAAACACTGAAACACTTATCCTGTCATGCAGTTGGAGGGACAGTGACAGACTTTGTGGTGGAAGAGAATGGAGTGTTGAGCTGGTCTTCTCCAGTTCCTCCCAATGGAGTCATTCTCTACTACAATGTCATCATATCCACAGCTGACTCTGGGCAACTGGTCACCAGAGTTGAGGAGTTGGAAGTCTTGACTATTGATGTCTCCAACTACGGAGAGATCAACATGGACTACAATCTTACTGTAAGAGCTTTTGAGTATGGTTTGGGACACTTTTTATGCATATAGATTTTTACTCCTCTGTACACGATACCCAATTTAAAAGCTTTGGGTATGCTATTTGAGTCATACCCACATTCCTTTAATTGCCCTTTTCTCTAGTCTACCGCCATGTTTACCAAAGTAAGATGTTACCACTTGGTGTGCGATAATAGCAAAATACCTTATGTGATTATAACATGATTCGTTTTCTGTAGTAAAAATTGTGCTCTAGGGTTGAGATGTTAAATAGTGGCATTTAGCACACTCACTATTGTGTGTCGTGCTCAGGTGCAGGCAGTGACGTCAGTAGGAGGAGGGGATTTCTCATTCCAGTGACAGTATCTCTGAGAGAGCCGTCACCTGACTCCAACTCTGGGTCCAGTTCTAATGAAGCAGGTGTCATTGCTAGTGCAGTTGTGGCTGTCACTCTCGCTCTTGGTCTCATTGTGACTGCTCAGTGTGTCAGTTTGAATGTAATGTTCTCTTACAGAGTGTCCAGAAGGAACCTTCTCATCAGGACTGGGTAATGGACCATGTGAGACATGTCCAGCTAACAGTGATGGGACTGGAACTGCTCTGTCCCTCTGTCCATGTCTCCAGGACTACTACAGAGCCCCTTATGAGGGTCCGTCCGTCCCCTGTACACGTAAGACATGATGTAGAATTCATGTGTAACTTGCTCTTAATTTTGAAAACGCATTAAAAACCAGAGTGTTAGTGGCTGGAAACTATTAGCTACTAGAAATAGGATAATGTCAACAGGGGTTTACTGTTTACAATTTATTGCAGTGTCTGCAAGACGTCCATCTCATATCTTCTACTGCACCCTTTTGCTTAAATTCTACCATCTTCATAATTAGTACTTCTGTTCTTTCGAAAAAAAGCCGTACTCATCCTTGTACTGCAAGGGTCGGCACGTAGGGGGCTGTTAGTTAATTGTTTAGGAAATTATTGCACGTCTCAATGTTCACAATATGCGAACATACAGTGTTCATCTATATCTCACATTCAGAGTCTCCAGGACCTCCATCTGATCTCAGAGTGTCAAATGTGACCAACACATCAGCCATCCTCTCCTGGTCTCCTCCTGATAATGATGGAGGGAGACCTCTCTATGAGATAGTCTACACTATCATTGGCCTGGGTACATTTCCGGGTGGCCATGGTGTAGTTGACTTGTTGTTGACATGGTAGCAGGGTCTCTAATGATTTGTGCCTGTTCTGCAAGATTGATATTCTTTGAGCCTTGCCAGGTGAACTGCCCTGGTAGCTCAGAGAGCACTCTGCCTAGACTGCAGGTCCGAGTCCCAAGTTCTTATTCCTTGTAAATATTGTTTGCTGGTTGTTTTTATTTGTTTGCTTTGCAGTTGTTTCACGTTCATAATCATCTCACTTGTGATTCATACTTAGACAGAGGAGGGAGTGGAGGAGAGAGAGTGGTGGTGAGTGAGGTGAATGATACAGAGACCATTGTGACTGGACTGACTCCTGGTGTCCTCTACACATTCTCTGTATCTGCTGAGAACGATGTCTCCTCTCAGGACAACAATATCGATGCCAGGAGTCTCAGTGCCACTGCCGACACTCAGGAAGGAGGTGTTTGTGTTAAACAATCGAGGTTTTTCATAAATAATTGCTCAATAGTTGCTGGCATTATTGATCTACTAGTACTGTGCGAGCCAGCTCTAGATTAAGACGGATTAGCTACCACCGCTAACTAACTCACTGCACCATTTTTTTCCTAACTCACTCTGAATATGCGAAATTACAAAATTACGCGAGTATAGGATACAACAATCTAAATCGCAACATACCGCCGGCCTAAGACCGAAACGGTCTTGTAAATGACGATCAAGTGTTTAGTGACATTAGTGCAGGTGATTTGATGAGTCAATGACAGGTAGCAGAACTGGAATCTTACTCACGGGTCTCTTGTATGTACCTTGAGCTGTCTTGAGAGTTATGACTCGTACGAGGTGGTCTTGTCCCGGATGCGTTTGTACCACTCGACCGAGAGGCCACTTCGTAGGAACCTTTCCGCTCTCTTGTAGTATGACTATATCTCCGACTGCCACGTTTCTAGTAGGGTACCTCCATTTGTTGAGTTTATTTATATTAGAGAGGTATTCATTTTCCCAACGTTGCCAGAAGTGGCGCACCAAACACTGACAGAGGTGCCAGCGCCATAGCAGGGAGACTGCTCTGTAGGAGATTTGAGGATCCGGGAGAGCTGCGACTGGTTTCCCGATTAGGAAGTGACCAGGCGTGAGCACTTAAATGCCATCATCATCAGTAGAACTGATAGGAATCATGGGACGGCTGTTGAGGCATGCTTCGACTTGAGTGCATGAGAACAGTCGTGAACTCTTCAAATGTCAACTTCACTGGGGACACAATATGCTTTAGATGATTTTTCACACTCTTCACTGCCGACTCCCATAACCCACCGAAATAAGGGGATCTTTCTGGAATGTATTTCCATTCTATGTTGTGGCTGCTACAGAACTCAGAAATAGCTCCTTGTGTGATTCGATTTGAAAGGAAGGTATGGAATTCTCTCAATTCTCGATAGGCACCCACAAAGTTCGTGCCGTGGTCACTCCAAATGAGTGATGGACATCCACGTCTGGCAACAAATCAACGCAGTGCTGCAATAAAGGAAGGCTTCAGCCGTTAGGTCAGACACCAGTTCCAGATGGACTGCCTTTGCAGCTAGACACACAAATAGACAGATGTAAGCCTTCAGAACTGTTGGTTTCCTCACATGACCATATTTGATTTGGAATGGGCCAGCACAACCTTGTCGAATGTGGAGGCGGGAGTCACTCGCTCTGCAGGCAATTGCCCGAGCAACTGATCATTTGGTTTGAAGCAGTGGCGTTTGCAAAAGTCACACAACGGATCTCACTGTCTTGCTAAGATCAATAATGTGAAATCGTCGATTCAGAGAAGTGTGGGACCACCATGCATCAAGCGTAAGTGTTCAGTTTCGACAATGAGCTTCGTCACAGGATGTACTCCATGGAGAATAATGGGATGCATCTTGGAGTAGCACAATTTGGAGTGGCTCAGTCGACCACCCACACGTAGGATACACTGTGAATCGTCAAGGAAGGGACGCAGATGGAGAAGACGACTGCTCTTGGGAAAAGGTAGTTTGGCTCTCAACAGATCAAATTCTTCTGGGAAACTTTCTTTCTGAATAACGGAGATCCAGTAGTTTTCGGCAGCAACCAAATCTGCCACCGTGAGACTGGGATGTCTCACAAACGACGCAGAAGTGGGAGAACGTACATTCTTGATGAATCTGAACATCCAGGCCGTGACTCGCTTAAGCACGGTGAACTTGGAATAACAATTCACTGGGATGGTTGGTTGAATGGTAGCAGTAGTTCCCACGAGACAAACACTTCTTTCTTCTTCAGGAATGGTCTCAGATGATACGCTTATCTGCTCTGGCCACATTGATGGCTCCAATGAGGTCCTTCCCACCTGAATTCGTGTTCTTTTAGTTGAGCTGGAAACAGACCTCTTGAAGCACAGTCGGCAGGATTCTGGGAGCCAGGAACGTGTCTCCATCGTTCAGGAGGAAGCGATGATAAAAGAGACCCTGTTGCCGACGAAGGTCTTGAACCTCCTGGGACTCCCAGACAACCAGCCCAAGACGACAATACTGTCGGTCCATGCGAAAACGGAATCTACGGGAACACTGAGTATTCGTTTTGCATGGCAGAGTAGTTTGGTGAGAACTTGAGCTCCACACAGTTCTAGTCGGGGTATGGATAACCGCTTGATTGGAGTAACTTTAATCTTGGCAATGACCAGTGCAGTGTGGGACTTTGTTTGTGGAATCTTCAACACGGAGGTAAACGACGCCACCATAAGCATCTTCCGAGGCATCACTGAAACCGTGTAATTGTGTCGATACAATGACATTTTTATTAGAAGAGAAGTAACACCGAGGGACGTGCATTGTCGTCAGGAGAGGTAATTCACTCCTCCATTGGGACCAGATCTGACGCACTTTTGTCAGGGATGGGATCGTCCCAATCGAGCTTTATTTCCCAGAGACGTTGGAGGAGGATCTTCATCTCTATGGTTACTGGTGAGAACCAGCCCAAGACATCAAACACTTTGGCCACGTCAGACACAATCATTCTCTTCGTCACGGTAGTCTTGGGTAATGCTTCGGTAATAGTGAGTTGGAACTCATCGGTTGATATGTTTCATTTGATGCCGAGTGTTTTGGTTTATTCATTGATTTCGGAGATGGTTTGGATATCACGAGTGTCTCGGAGTTCCTCTGGGATTTCTTCCAACGCAGACGGATCGCTGGAGTTCCATTTTCTGAGTGAGAAACCACCACGAGCAAACAGGCTCGATAGCTGTTGTTGGACCTTGGGTCATCTGCACCCATTAGACAGTCGTCGACATAGAAACATTTTCGCGCTGCTTCAGCTGCTAGGGGAAACTCCTGCGCATGGTCAATGGCATTCTGCTTCTCAGCCATGTAAGCTGCAAATGAGGGTGCTGACACTCCGAACGTGACACGTGTCATACGGTAGTCAGTAAGAAGGGCGTTGTGGTCTGATCTCCATACAAAGCGGTGTAGATCATAATCACTCCTGGTCAACTCGACAGCTCGATACATCTTGCTGACGTCTGCAGTGAGGGCAACTGGATACGAGCGAAGATCGCAGAAGAACATCGATTAGTGGAGGGTGAACAGTGGGGCCAGCGAGGAGAGTGTCATTCAGGGATACACCAGTAGACGATTTTGCCTAAGCGTCAAACACTGCTCTGACACGTGTTGTGGTGCTTGTAGCACGGCGTGCATCGGCAGATAAAATGTTTCTTCAATCAGTCTTTCCTGATCCGTACTGGAAATGGGCTCGGCATGACCCAGGTCAAGATATTCTTGCATGACATAGTCGAGCTCTTTGAAGCGACCCTTTGCAGTGAGAGAGCGTTCGAGTGAGAGGAACCTCCTTATGGCTTGTGACCTTGATTCACTGATCTGTTTTGCAGATGGATTTCTAGGGAACGGAACCACGAATCTTCCTTCTTTGGAGCGCGAGTAGTTTGACTCAAAGTTCCGAACTACTGTTCGTTCTTCTGTGGAAAGTGCTGAGTGGTCTGTTGGTGTTTCTTCAATCTCCCAGAATTGTCTGAGGATGTCATCTGCAGATGTGCTTTGGAAAGTGGTTCACAGGCGTGCGCCGACGAACATGAAGCTGGACCAGCGCTACCGTGTAGCACCCAACCAAATTCAGTCTCGAGGGCTGTGGGAGATTCTAGGGGACCGCTCCGCCGGCCGTGACATAGTACGTCAAGAAATAGGTCGACGCCAAGTAGCATGTCAATGCGGCCAGGTTGTCCAAATCCAGGGTCAAGGTCGGCGAGGTGCTTCCAATTCATTTGGAATGGGACAGGGGCCAGAGGTAGATCACAGGTGACCTTCGGAACGACTACAGCTGTGATCCCTATCTTCCTTTTGTTGGATCCGACGGCTGAGATTTGGAAGCTGGGATAGGGGCCCTTTGTGACACACCACCAATGCCAGACACTCGAACATTTTGATTGAAGCGAGGCAAAGAAAGACTTTGAACCAGTCGCTTGGATACGAATGACGCAGACGACGCGTTGTCCAGCAGCGCTCTGGGTTCCACGGATGACCCATCTGGAGCGATGACAGACACACGGCATGTCATGAGTAAAGCGTTCAACTTTAGCTTCATGCCACCATTGGAGGAGACTGGAGTAGAGGAGACTGGAGTGGAGTAGACTGGAGTGGCCGTTTGGGACCCAGCAGGCGGTGTGGGATTTTGTTGATCAATATGCAGGAGAGTGTGATGCAGTTTCTGCCATACCTTGCACTTGTGTGTTGATTTGCATTGTCGCCTGAAGTGCCCACTGGTGAGGCAGTTCAAGCAAAGATTGTTAGTTTTGAGTACGGAGACTTTTTCGTCGTGAGAGAGTGATCGAAACTTACACAAACGTACAGCGGATGCTTTTCGGCTTTGCAAACAACACAATTGCTGCCAGAGGAATTCGCATTGGCGGCGAACGAAGTGACTCTATTCGTGGGTTTCTTCATGTGTGTGGCACATGACGTCTCGAACTCCAACAACTTTTCAAAGTGAGGAACGTCAGCACTCGACTGTGCTTTTGCCACTCAAAGAGAGTGTCAACGTCTAGCTTCAATTCGATCATGGATGTAATGAACTTGCCAGGGAGGTCACATCCCAATGTTTTCAGTGCACGGACATGCTGTTGAATGTTGTTGTGTAGTCCCTTTGATCTTCTCGGGATTGTACGGTCATGCACCGACACAGAGAATTGATCCCAAAACTGTTTCAAGTGAATGATATTTCCATCAAAGACCTGTACGTCTAGCTTAGGGAGTCTGACCTCTGAACTGTCTTGAGGAGAGGTCTTACTGGGAGCTGCTGCCAGTAGACCCTTGACCTTAGAGGCAATGTCGGATAGCTCTACTTCCAGTGCGGAGTGTGCAACAGACAACTCGTCGTCTTCAGGAACATGAGCTCATCGTACAGAGCGGCGAGGTCTCTTTTGAAGTCCGTCGTTTCTTCCTGGCACTGCATCAAAACTGAGGGCTCGACGGGACCGTCGGTATCGGCAACGATGTCGCGTATCCTTTTAAAACCAGCTTGTACGCATGAGAGTCTTCGGGAAAGGGTCTTGCGAGGATCAGGAATCACCGCTGCGCGGGCGTGATCAGTGGAGGTTGACAGAGTTTCCAAACGAACATTGAGCGTGGCCACATCATCGTCGTGCTCGTCCAACGTGGCTTGTTCAGCCTCCAACAAATCCTCATTACCTTCGTCTATAAGTTCGCTGAGTTCATAGTGAAGTTCTCTGAATTCTTCGTCCAGCTTTCCCAGTAATTGCCGGGTGTGGTCGGGAGAGGTTGATCGGCTGTATCCTCCAGTTCCGTGAGGCGACTTCCAAGTCGAGTGACAGAGGCACGCACGACACCTCTTATCCTTCGGTAGCGGGAGTGGACGTCACGTCCACGGGCGACAGCGGCAATTAGAATCACCACGAGGTGGACCGTACTGCCAAGTAGGCTATTATTGGCGAGCGGGAGCGAGCTAACCTAGTGGTACGAACGGCGCGATTTTTCTATACGACCGACCGTACGTCGTCCAACTGCGCATGCTCCAGGATTACGCGCTTCTTTTTATCCGAAAGTATTTCAAAATGTCACATGCTGCCTGCCTGTGGAGGATGTCGTGCGTATACATGTGCATATAGTCCGGGGAAGATGCCCTACGTCGTCGAAGAGAGTGGGAAAGAGAACATCGTGCCCGTGAGACTCCTGAGCAGAGAGACTGGTTTGTATCAGCGTCGCTTTCGTGATAGGGAACGCGCAAATTTTTAACTAAATAACTAAAATATCGACGCCCACGCAATGTTGGCGTGAAGTCGCGCACTAGTTTTCTCTCCCATAGAGAATGTATGGAGGAGGAATATGAATATGCTAATGAGCTTGTAAAACAAAGAGTGAAAAATCCGAGACAGGTACCAAAATTCACTATAATTCACGAGCGTTTTAGCCATGCAATTGAAAAAAAAATAACTAAAATATCGACGCCCACGCAATTTGGGCGAATCTTTTAAAAAATTAACAGTGTGCGAGTAGTGATACATAACAATCTAAACCGCAACAACTACTCATTTGCATTAACCAATGACACCTCATGCAGTTGGAGGGACAGTGACGGAGTTTGTCGTGGGAGAGAATGGAGTGCTGAGCTGGTCTTCTCCAGTTCCTCCCAATGGAGTCATTCTCTACTACAATGTCGTCATATCCACAGCTGACTCTGGGCAACTGGTCTCCAGAGTTAAGGAGTTGGACGTCTTGACTATTGATGTCTCCGACTACGGAGAGATGAACATGGACTACAATGTTACTGTAAGGGCTTTTTGAGTATGGTTTGGGACACATAAAGGTTAAGCATAGTAGCATTTAGCACACAGTGTGTGTCGTGCTCAGGTGCAGGCAGTGACTTCAGTTGGAGGAGGAGATTTCTCATCTCCAGTGACAGTATCTCTGAGAGAGCCGTCACCTGACTCCAACTCTGGGTCCAGTTCTAATGTCATTGCTGCTGCAGTTGTAGCCGTCACTCTCACTCTTGGTCTCATTGTGACTGCTCAATGTGCCTATATCTGCTGGTATGTATATTATGTTTTACGTTTAGATCTTAATTTCGTTTACAAAAAGAACTTAAAAATTAACCTACCTGGCAGATCTTCTTTAGCTATGCCTGAAGACGTCACATGTGCTTTCAGTTCTCCACGTGATAATTCGCTCATGCACAATTTAAGAATGTTCGTGTCCCCATAATTCTTCATCATCTTCTTCTTTAACTTGTGCATTGTAGCTACTTTCCCTCGTTGTCCTGTCCGTCAGCGCTTTTTGAGTCATCAGGTTAACCTCTCTACAACATCCATATTAGAATGGTGTGAAACGTGTCACGCAAAAAGCTACAGGACACCATCCCTATATCTTGTTCTCGATAGAACCTGGACCTGCCCTCAATGTGTTGCAATAAGATATATGCATGTACTGTACTTGCTCAAAACATTTTGTGAGAGCAACCCCGTTCATGTACAATTTTTGTGCAGGACAAAGACAAAGATGAAAAATAGAAATATAGAACAGACATCTTCTTCTGGTGTAAAAAGTAATGTGTCACATTATTGGTTTTTGCCTAATACATATGAGCTAAAAGGTGACATTTTCAGACTCAGATATGCCGGGTCCACCTATGGAACTATTACAGGAAAAGTCGGAGGATGGGATGGAGATTATGGAGCGCAACAAAGCATATGGCATTCACAAGGCGCCTGGACATAATATGAGAGTTCAAGTTCCTGTGTATCCCAATGAAGCATATTCTGTGTGTAAGGGTGGCACACACGAAGACCCAGAGTATGAACTGGTTAATTAGACTACGAAGACTATTAAACAGCTTGCATTGTTTATTTTGTGTGTAGTTCTTATCAAGAAAGTGTGTCTGTCAGGCTCCTGTTATAATCTACATCTGTAACATTATGATGTGAAGCAATTGCCAATCAGTGAGACTGTGCAGTGCTCTGTTTTCCCGAACTGCGAATGCAACTTTATGAGTGCAACATTGGAGGGCACATAATATACATTTTGTACTTCATAAGAAGGTTGTCCTCTTTTCAGAGGTTAACACTTAACCAGCCACGGACACAAGTGTCCAGAGCCATTGATACAGGTATAAAAACGTGCATCAATGCTTACATACAATGCCCTGAGGAATTCCCTGTGGTAGCTAACCCGTATAGATTGTGAATTATGTTTAAAGATTGTAGGGTGTAACCATTCTGTGGCTGAAGGAAGGTGTGTCCCTTTTCACGGTGTCTAACAAACCATCCACTTTCTCTACATGTGCAGATGTATTCCTCACTGTTTGTGATAAACTGTACATAGGCCTCGCTCTCAACAGTCTTAAGGTGTGTTTTCGCACAATCTTCAACCATAAGTTAGTGCTTTGGTATGTAGCTAAAAGCTTTTGCGTGTCAAATCATTGAAAGTCAAGAGTTCTGCCTCACCCGACATTTCAATTAGTAGTAATATTGTGGGCTTAGGTGTCTGCTAAGGATAAAATGCTATTGAAGTGATCCCTTGATGGTTACCCCACACATAACCCTGCAATCTTCAAACATAATTCACTTCACATAATTATCTTTGTCTTTGTGCACATCACACCATGCATGAGTCAAGTCTGGTTATAGGGATTGGGGCTTTAGTGGCCTACAGGATCCAGGGAGGGATGCCATCACTAGGGAGTCAGAAGGAGTTGAGGGTTCCTTTGGTAGCAGAGCTGGGAAAGGTTTTTAAAAGAAAGTGGAAAGGGAAGGGTCGTTCGGAAGAAGGAACAAGTTGTTTTGTATATACAAAGAAATGTAGTGTGTTTAGTGTCTGGTTACAAAGTTGTGTTGGGTAGGGCTAGGAGGGTTGACTTTGGGTGTATGAAGCTCCAAGTATATGCCTTTTCATGCCAGCTAACAGTTGGCATTGATTTACCTTCGGCGCGCATGCGCAGCGAGGGTACGGTAGTTGGGTCTGTCTGTGTGTCTGTCTGTTACTCAACATCTTACTTCTTCAATGTTCGTTCGTCTCACAAACGATACGACTTACTTCACGGGCAATGAAGGTCACAAATCTCGAGCGGTTTTCTCTGAAAATGCTCCGTTGCAAAGCTGGAGCGCTTCCAGCATTGTACGGCTAATGCGTAGTCTGCCGTTTTATCAGGAATTAAAAATACAATAAGCATAGTGATGCAAGGCTAAAATTGTAGTAAAAATGGACAAGTCAAAATGATGCCATCGGTTGGGGGGATTTTTTTAGGGGCTTGGTGGTACATCTATGTGAAGCTGCAATAAAGATCACGTACATCATCTACAGAAACATGTAGCCTTATCGTCTACCAAAGCATACAATTAATGCAGTGTCCAACAGAATGTGGAGTTTATTCCAGGAATTTCAGCCAATTTATCGCTGCGGAAAATGCGCATACTAACAACCCAGTCCATAAATTAGTCGTACCGAGCGTGCGCAGTTCGCCGAGGGTCAGCGCTTTCAATTTAGTAAGTTTTCCCTTAATTAATTTACAAAGGGTGGAGTAATATGTGTGCATCTGTGTTACAACGTAAATGCTTTTCTTTACACCAGTCTTGACACTTCTGGGTTGGTAAAATGACACACTTAACGGACAGCCCTCTACAACGGACACCGCGTTATAACGGACACACTCGCAGGTCCCGATTGTTTCATCGTAGAGTTCCGTACGTTCATAACCCCTCCAGAACGGACACCCCGCTACTCCGTATAACGGACAGTAAAACCAATCCCAAATGTACGATGGCCGACAAGTGCCATCCTTCCATTTTCCATTTCTTGTTTCCATTTTCCAAATTCACCTCCCATTTTCCATTCCTTACCTCCACTTTCTGTTCGCCATCACGCGCTGCGCACGGTCGGATGATGCTTGGCCCCTACGGCTCATCAGAGAATCGTATAGGTAATGGACGCATACAGAAAAAGACATGCGCAGAGCCTTAGCTCCCCAGGTGGGTGTGGCGACTAGCGACTGTGGACTCAGCGTGCGGCAGACCCTTACGCGGAGGTCTGGGTAACGAGACCAATACAGTGTAGCTAGGTCACGTCCAGAGCGGTGCCGTCGGACATCCGACGTGCTGCATGCAATTATGAAGCCGAGAAAGGACGGCAGTCCGCGCCGCGCTGGTCAAGCTATCTAGAAGGCCGGGAAAACGGAGAACAGAAGCGTGAAATGGAAGCGCAAAATGGAAAAAAGAAATAGAATTTGGAAAGTGGAAGTACAATATGGAAAATTGGAGGTGAATGGAAATTTGAAGGATGCCACTTGTCGGGTACGGTGGCCGATAGGTGCCACGCCATTTTCCATTCCGTTTTCCATTCACACTTCTGTTTTCCATTCCAAATTCCGTTTTACTTCCACATTCCGGTTTATCACCGCGGCCTGTTCCCCATGCGCTAGCGAAGGGAGGACGAGTGAAGTGTGCTCGCCAATACAATAGCTGCTACACGCTGGGAGCGAAATGCTGTCAGGTAGAGCATGTGAAATCTGTGGAGAGCCTCGCAGCTAAAATCTCTGAGTTGCAACTGGAAGTTGGTCAGCTGAAAAATGTGGTAGATGATCTCAAAAGCTCCAGTACTCTGCGGCTCGCCACATCTCGAGATACACATCCTAACAGGGTGTCTCTGTCAGTGGAACCCAGGTTGCTGAACAGAGTCTGTTCCAGTATGAGGGTCATGCATGGGGTCTGGGAGGAGGGGAAGAGGTCGTAGAAGTGGTAGGGGAGGTAGAGGTGGGGGATAGAGGTGGGGGATGGTTATCGGGAGAGCTAGCTTTCATGATAATGGTGAAAAAAGATCTGTCGAAAGTTTGCTTGATAGTCAGGGAAGTTAACGACCCTTGGAATCACGGCACAAAGTCACAAAGTGTGGGGTACACTTAGTAGTTGCTCTGCTAGTACCGTTCAAAATGGTATTAGAAGAATATGTGCCAATGATACAGTGCAAGTCAGAAGGAAGACCAAGGAAATGCCTAACGGTAAAGTGTGTTGGTGGTTCGTGCTCCATGATGACGAAGCAAGTCTTCAAGCTATTGATGGCAAGTGGGAGCAAGTCAAGCTGCAAACGTCATGGAAGCTAGAACCATGTTTTCGCCTGAGCCCTGCACCACCTGTGCAACCACCAGCGCCACCATCTGGCAGTTCCATTGGTGTTGTTGGTACCCCTGTTTCTGAAACCTTGACCACAGCCGGAGTGCTATCCACAACACCAGTCCTTTCAACATCACCTCAACCTGCATCGTCACAACCCCAAGCTTCAACATCGCCACAAACCCAATGTTCTACACCACCACAACTCCAAACACCCCCAGTTACCTCTGATGCTTCCAATGTTCCAAATGGGGGAAATATGTCTTTTTTGGCCAACAGCCTCGAGCAGTAGCTGGAGCATACCCGACTCTAAAAAATTGCAGCAGTGAATTGAACATTGTCTACTACAATGCCACGTGGTAGAGCGTTGTTGAGTGGGGGATTGAGTGGGGTGGGAGGGGGGGGGGGTGAGGGGGTGGGGGGTGGGAGAAGAGGGGGCGAGGGAGGGAGCAGGGAGGATGGGGGAGGGAGGGGAGTCGCAGAGGAGGTGGGGGGGAGGGGAGGGGGGGGTGAGGGAGGGGTTTTGGGGGGTGGGTTTGAAGGCGGCGTTGGGGTTGTGAGATGGGGAGGGGTGGGTTCGGGGCGCGGATTGGGTTTGAGAAGTGGGATCGGAAAAAAGGATCGAGTGGCTGATTTTCTCGCCAACTTTAAGTCTCTCTTTTCCGGGCGGGGGAGCAGCCGGCAGGGGGTGAGGGGAGGATGGGGGTGCTGGGGGGGAGAGGAGAGAGAGGGGGGGCAGTAGGGCGCGTGGGGATTGGGGAGGGGTGGGGGGGGGAAGGGGGGGGAGAGGGGGGGGGGGGGATGGGGAGGGTGTGGGAGGGTCGCGGGCGATGGGGGGGCGGGATTTGGGGGGTTGTGCCCGTCGAGGGTTGGCGTGCGGAATCGTTGGTGTTCGGGCGGGTATAGGGTGGTGCCTCGGGGGTGGTGGAGACGGGAAAGGAGCAGGGGTATTCGGGGGTTGGTGGTGACTGGTGTCGTCTGCGTATGTTTTGGTTCCGGGAGGAGCGGGGGGGGTCACCCGGGCGCGAAAAAATAAAGGGTATCTTGTTCTGCATGCTCGGGTGCGTAGTGGTTCGGGGGTGCGTCGGGTGGGTGGCGGCGATGGTCTCGGGGGTTGCCCGGGCGTGGGGGGGGTGGGAGCGCCGGATGTAGGATCGCGAGGGGGGGTGCTTCGGATGGGGGGCCGGGGGGCTCGGCGCCTAGGGGTGTGGCGGAGCCGCGTCGTGCGTGGAGAGGCAGCCGGGCGCGCGTTTGCCGCTCTGTGGCCGGGGACGGAGTCCGGAGGGGAGCGACATTTTTCGCGCCGGGCGGCGGTGTGGGTGGAGGTTATGGAGTAGGTTGACGTCGGGGTGTCGTGCCAGTTTGGAGTTCCGTGGGGACGGTAGGACGTTGTGGGGGCCCTTAGGGGGAGGTCCCGGACACTCCCGGGGTGATGTCGGGCGGGGGAGCCTGGGGCCCTACTTCGTCTGAAAAGGGGCGGGGTGGGCGGATTGGGATGGAGGGGGGGGCGGGGAGGTATGGGGGGGCGGAGCCTGTCGCGGTGAGGGGGGGGGTTTGGGGCAAGCGGGTGGAGGGAGAACGGGGGCGCCGATTTCGGGGGGACGCGAGGGGCTGGGGTTGGGGGGGGTTGGCCGAGGGTAGATGGGGTTGGGGGGGGTGGGTGACTGTTTGGTAGAGTGCTTTTTTTTGTTATTTTTTAGTTTTTTACTTTTTTTTTTTTTTAGCTCCTGCCAAAAATGATGAATTAGAGCTATACTGAAACATAATCTGCAGATTTTTGATTTGCATTGTTGAAAACATAGCTGTCAAATGAGTTTCAGACAATGAACTTGTGACCAGATTATCAGATTAAATTTTTAGACGTGACAGAGATCGTCATGGTGGAGCTGTGTGAATGTATGTACTTTTTCTTTTGCTGTTGAGTTTAGTGTATAGTGTAACTGATATTGAGTTGTGTTGACTGTTTCCGTTTTGTGTCCTCCTACATCATTACTCTTAGATTTTGCGTTGACTCTGTGATTACGCGACCCCTCCCGCTGCTTCTGTAAGTGTTTGACTCTCTATCTATTTAATGTACTGTCTATCTCCATTATCTTACTCAAGTTGTGCATCTAGTACTCGTAACACCCCATCTGGTTCGTCTCTGATTGATTTCGATTTTTATATCCTCAATGTCATTTTGTACACATGTTCTGCTCTTCCACCTCTGGGGACCTCAGACCATAGTGGTCTTCAGCTGGCGGTAAAGGTGATGTGTTTTGAAAGGAGTCAAGGAAATAAACGTCCTTTGTGGAACTACAGCCAAGGTGACTATATGAAAGCAAGGCGTCTGATTGACATTTTTGATTGGGATTGATTGTTTTCTGATGATATCTCCGTTATGTACAACAATGGCAAAGCCAATTTTTGCATATAATGGAACAGTGCATTCCCAGACTCTCGCATTCAAGTGCTCGTCTGCCATGGTTAACTAAAGACTCATGAGATTAATAAAAAAGAAAAATCCTTGTTTAGGGCTTGGAAAAAGAATGGCAGTCATACAGTTCGCAGCAAATACAAATCAGTAAGAAATAAGCTCACAAAATTGCTGAGATCTGCAAAGAAGAACTTTTTGGAAACTTGAACACAGTGGACCAAAAAACGTTTGGAAAAGAGTCCATCAATTGACTAAGAGCTCAACCTCTATTCCTGTTCTAGTTCAGGGGCAGTAAAAAAGCCTTTACTAGTAAAGAAAAGGCCGATGTTCTATCTGATACGTTTAAGAAATCTTTAAATTCTTCCATGGCTCCTCTGACATTCGCAGATCTTGATCAGTTTGCAACTGGGCTAAACTCATGCCCTGATGAATTTCTATGTACAGTCGAAGAGATTAAGCATGAAATTGAGACTCTTGATGTTAGTAAGTCCTCAGGTCCTGATGGGATATCTGCTAGAATGCTTAAAACCCGTGGCTAGAAGTATCGCACCTTCGGTTGCAAAACTTATAAATCAATCCATTCAATCTGGTTGCTTCCCTGTGTTCTGGAAAATGTCTAACATTGTACCTATACCGAAGCCAGGAGATAATGCAAACCCTAAAAACTACAGACCTATCTCTCTCTTATCTATCTTAAGCAAACTGCTAGAGAAGCATGTCCAACACCTATTGATGGACCAGATAATGGAGAAAAACATAATATCTGAGTCACAGTGGGGGTTCCTTTCTGGGAGATCAACTACCTCAGCTCTGCTTTCTGTCACTGATAGCTGGCATAAACACTTAGAGGCAGGTCAGGAGGTCTGTGCCATTTTTCTAGACCTCCAAAAAGCATTCGATTCTGTTCCTCATCGTTGTCTTTTGTCAGTCCTACAGCAGATGGATGTCCACCCCATTCTACTGAGATGGATATGTAGCTACCTAACCAATCGAATCCAAAAAGTTGTGATCAATGGAGATTCCTCCTCTGACATTCATGCGATCTCTGGAGTTCCCCAGGGTTCAGTCCTGGGGCCACTACTCTTCCTGTTGTATGTAAATGGTGCTACTGATTTGGTATTTTCACCTGGGTCTAAAATTACACTCTATGCTGATGACATTCTACTCTTCAAGCCAATTAATGATGCTATGGACTTCGTGCTACTACAGAGAGATGTAAACTCCTTGTTACAGTGGTCAGCCAGTAGATCTCTAACCTTCAACCCCGAAAAATGCAAATTTATGATTGTGACAAGGAAAAGAAATACAATACATCCCCCTGCTCTGTTTCTTAATGGACAGGCTATCGCTAGAGTATTTCACTACACATACCTTGGTGTTACTTTAACATCTGATCTCTCCTGGAGTAAACACATCCATGGTTTTTGTACCAGAGCTAAGAAAATGCTTGGTCTTCTGTACAGAACATTCTACCTTCACACATCGTCTACAAATCTTCTGCAGCTGTATATATCTCTCATTCGGCCATGTCTAGAATACGCATGCGAGGTTTGGAATCCTTATTTACTTAAGACATTAAGAACTTGAAAAAGTTCAGAAATTTGCTTAAGACTCTGTGTAAAGCAATGGGGCCTAGATTACACTTCTCTGTTGTTTATCTGCAATATCCCGTCACTCAACATTCGTCGTAAGTATATCCTCTTTGAGATACGCCTACCTTTCGCGTGGTATTCCGTTTTTTGGGAGCATCTAACTCCTATGTTTGTGTGTTTGTTTGTGTATGTGTGTATTTCATGTGCATTGTGTTCTTGTTCTGTTTTTTTTGTTTTTTTTTGTTTTTTTTTGCTTTGTAATGAATGGTCTGCTGATATAGTTTATTGCTCCAAAAAAAACCTGATTCTATGCCGCTTTCTGGGCCTATTCACGTTTTGAGGCAGAACTTGAATGTGTTTTCCCATCGACAACCTGGCTGTGAATGCAGGTAGTGCTGCTATCAAGGCAAGGTGCTTGCCCAAACACGTAGTATTGTGCGGGCGGAAATCCCCCGGGTCCTCTCCCGCGCGCGCACGCGCGCGCCGGACGCCCCGCGCAGCGCCGCGGCGCGGGACTCGGCTATAAATTGCAAGCTGCCGCTCGGGCTTAGCCATGACAACGAAATGCAAGATGGACACCCTTCCAGTGCTATCGCAGTGTAAGTCGGCCTTTCAAGCAGTATGTGGAGACCTAAAAGGGGCTAGGAACACTCAAGAAAGATTCTTAAAAACCTGCCCAGTCGTTTCGCAGGGAACGTCCGCAGTTCAGGCGCTGATGGGTGACACTGAAGGCGCCAGGGAGACGCAACTTGAGTTTGTCGGATTTTTAAATGACTCTGCTGACTCCATCCCAGTTGTCGGCCATGTCAAAGGTGGAATCCATTACGTCTGCGGGGATACGGAGGGAGGAGACAAGGCCATGAAAAGCTCGTCGAGAACTGCCGGCGTCATTGGAGGAGGTGTGGTAGGGTTCGTTGTCGGCGGTCCTCCCGGAGCCGCCGTTGGCGGAGCTGCCGGAGGCTTGCTCGTGGATGGCCTAACCACGGGTATCGACTCTGCCGTACACGAGGAGTTTCGCCCAGCAGGCACGGTGGCCGCTGTCGATACCTTAGTTGAAGGCAAGTCAAAATCTGTTTCTGGGAGACATCTTTGATGTCGTGGTGGGGACTGTAATGGATGGAATGCTGGGATTGCTGCAGGCGAGCAAGTCGGGAGAATGTCAAAGGTTAAAGTAAAGGGAGAAGCAAACAATGTTCCTGCCAATAAGCAAGTACATGTAGACGGAGCAATGGACAAAGTGAAACATCTTACAGGCGATGAAGTAAGAAATTTAAAGAAGGATGCACACACCCATGCGCAAGCAAAGCAGAAAGTCACTGGAGGATCCTCGAAACTGACCAAGGCTCAAAAGAAGCAAGTAAGGCAGTTGAATCGCAACCGTACAAAGCTAACAGATCACAACATTCACGGGTTAATAGAGGATCGCCAAGGACAGATTGCAGTCGATTTGAAACCAGAAAGCAACACTGGAAGGTATGCTGAAAGAATTATAATGAAGGATCCGAAACAAAACTATACACTGAATGTGGTCGAGTATCTTGATGATCATAAGTATGGGGTAGTAGACCCAGGGCCTGGGCCTTCCTGTGTCCAACGAGCAGCTAACTTTGTTGCAGACCATCAAGCAGTTTATGGTGCAGCTGCAGGAGTCTATCCTGCTGCGGCAGGACCTAAAGGAGTCGCCAAGTTTGATATCTTGGTCATTGGAGCTAGTGCTGGTGGAATTGCCTGTGCAAACAGAGCTGCTGAACTTGGGAAGAGAGTGGCTATAGTGGGAACTGGAGACAAGGAGAGCGTAAGTGTGATGAGATAATCTCCACGCACAGATAATGTATGTTGCAATGCACAAACAGGACAGGATGTAAGGGCTCATGCTGTCCTGTCTGGGTACTGCAACAGATTTGTTGGATATCCCTAGGGAAGTAACATGTATAAACCCTTTGCATTTGCGTGCAGGATTGTACAGGCTGATAACATTCTCCAGTACTTTTCTTCATACGTCATGTCGGTTGCCTAGGGATATAGATCAAGAGGGGTGCATGGGAAGGTGTAGACTATGAGTATGGTACATAGCTGTACTGGGGGACTTAGTTTTTGCATTATCATCCATGCTAGCCCTATACGAGCCCTTATACAACGCTTGTGGTTTAGAGACCACTAGAGTATAGTATATATTAGCCCACAATTATTTTAAGCCATTAACTAACGCCTGTTGTGCACCATCTGCAACGGCTT